TCCAAATGAAGTTCTTAGCAATGCATATTACTAATCAAAAATTAAGTTTTGATATATTTACAGTAGGAACATGGGACATGATCTTTACTTAATATCCTAATGATTTTTGGCGATAATTCGATCATTTTGACCCATACAATGTATTGTTGGCTATTGCTACAAATATAACCGTGCTACTTATGACTGCTTTTGTGCTCCAGGGTCACATTTTTCAAATATGTTTAAATCATTTTTGTCTTTTTATATTTTATTATTTCATATATTTTTTTTCTATTTTTGAATAGATATTGTGTAAATTGTTGTGTTTGTCTTTACTCTTATTAAACAGAGTTGTTTCAAATAAATGTTTAAATTATTTTAAATATGATTTTTTTTTTAAATATATATATTGTGTTAAATTTTGTGTACATTTTATTTGCTGTCATGATAAATATCCAAACATATGTTATCCTTTAGCTTCACGCTGTTTTCCTGTCACTCAACAGGTGGTGTACGTCACTGCGACCTTCCCATATGTTATGCTGTTGATTTTACTGATCAGAGGGGTCACACTGCCGGGAGCATCCCGTGGGATCCAGTTCTATCTTTATCCCGACTTAGGACGGTTAGCGGACCCACAGGTATCATAATTTTCATCTACTGCAGTTCTGACTTGAAAATTATTCTTGTCATGACTAGAAAGGGACATTCTGAACTAGCAAAAATGGGCAAAAATCTGATTGGTTTTAGTCTAGGATTTTGTTTCGGTAATTCTTCTGGACACTAGCGAACTGTTTTCTCTTAAAAATGCCGTGTCTCGAGTCGAAAGGTCACGTGATTTGTCTACCCAGGTGCTTTAGTCGAGGCCCGGAGCAGGATGCCCAGCAGGGAAACATTGTTTTCTGTACTTCTTTGATAGCGTCCATCTGTGCGTTTGACCTTTGATCCGACTTTCACATCTGTGTCACTAGAAGAACCCACAAACCCACGTGATATCTGAGAACAGGCCACGGCACGGCCACCCAGATACATCCCAGCATTCCTTAACATCAGAACAGCTTAAAACCTCTTCTGGTAAATCTCTGTCTAGCGACAAAAGCATTTTTGGTTGGATTTGAGAGATAGCATTGGGTGTGTTCGCATGGTTTCATCTTAGGAGTATTAAAGTGAGGCCAGTTAAAAAAAAATCGAATGGGTTTACATGAACAGCTAGTCAAAGTTTGGCATTTTTGGTTGGATTTGAGAGAGAACATTAGTTGTGTTGACATTATTTCATCTTAGCAATATAAAAATGAGGCCAATTCAATAAAATCTTTGGGTTTAGGCAAACAGTTAGACAAAGTTTGGTATTTTTGGTTAGATTTGAGAAATGGCATTGGTTGTGTTGATGTTGTTTCACCTTAGAAGTATTAAAATGAAGCCAGTTCAACAAAATCTTATGGGTTTACATGAGAAGCTGGACCAAGTTTGGTATTTTTGGTTGTTTTTGAGAGATGACATTGATTTTATTCACATTATTTTATCTTAGAAGTATACAAATGAGGCCAATTCAACAAAACCATAAGGATTTACATAAACAGGTAGACAAAGTTTGGCATTTTTGGTTGGATTTGACACATGGCATTGGTTGGGTTGATGTTGATTTATCTTTTGAGTATAAAAATGAGGCCAATTCAATAAAATCTTAGGGTTTAGGCAAACAGTTAGACGAAAATTGGTATTTTTGGTTAGATTTGAGAAATGGCATTGGTTGTGTTGATGTTGTTTCACCTTAGAAGTATAAAAATGAGGCCAATTCAACAAAATCATATGGGTTTTGCAAACAGCCAGACCAAGTTTGGCAATTAAGATTGGATTTAATAGAAATCATTGGCTATGTTGACTTTTTCATCTTAGAAGATTCAACAAAATCTTATGGGTTTAAGCAAACAAGTATACACCTTTGGCATTTTTGGTTGTATTTCAGAGATAACATTGGCTGTGTTGACGTTTCATCTTAGAAGTATATAAATGAGGCCAATTCAACAAAATATAATGGGTTTACGTGAACAGCTAGACAAAGTTTGGCAATTTTGGTTATATTTAAGAAATTGCATTGGTTGTGTTGATGTTGTTTCATCCTTGAAGTTTCAAAATGAGGCCAATTCAACAAAATCTTAAGGGTTTACATGAACAGGTAAAGAAATGTAGGCATTAATGGTTGGATTTGAGCAATAGCGATTGCTGTTTTTTCATCTCTTGATCTTAGATGTAAAAACAAAGCCAAAATCATCAGATAACAAGGTAAACAGTTTGACAAGATTGGTCAAATGAGTGATCGAGGACAGTTTCTATAAAAAGCAACATAAATTGACATTCATAACCCATTTTAATTCTTTAAAGGTTGGATTTGTGAGATAATGGCTGCTGTTTTGACATCTCTTGGTCTTAAATGTATACAAATGAGGCCAAAATAAATGAAAATTTAGTTAGAAAAGCAAAGAGTTGGCCAAGGTTAACTGGTGATCTAAGACTTCCAAAACTTGAGTATCATAGGTCAAACTGTTAAGTGGTGTTCATAAGCCATTTTAATTCTGTAAAGTGTTGTAGGGTATTCAACAATATTCCATGTTAACTTCAACCTCAAAGAAAGAAGCATAAGTCGTCTCTTTTTGGTCAATATGGACATTTTGGTTGGATGTGAGAGATAACCATTGCTGTGTTGAGGTCATTTCATCTCAGAAGTATAAAATGAGGCCAATTCAACAGAATATTGTAGGTTTATGTGAACAGCCATATAAAGTTTGTGAAATCAAATTGATCTAAGGCTCCAAAAACTTGAGCATCATGGGCCAGATTCTTTAAAATCAATGTGAATCAACATTCATAACTCATTTTAATTTGGTCTTTGATGTGTAAAAATGAGGCCACAATTCTTGAACCCTTCAGCAAGAAAAGTAAATGGTCGGTCAAAGTTAGTGAAATCAGTGATCTAAGGTTTGAACATTTTAAGCATCATGGGTCAAATCTCATGTCTTGTTAGGACATCAGTGGTGTTTTTAGCACAGTTCTAGACCTCAGGTGATAAATGTGAGGTTTTAAGGGAAGTGTGAGGAATTTTCCCAATGGAAAAACACAGTTTCTTCTTCACGTAATCCTGGCTACAGAAATGCGATCGAACACATGATTTTCACTTGAAGGACCAAAGCATTATCTAGAGACCAATCACTCTTTTGAGCAATAAGCAGTAGTTTTTATAGGACAGAGGTCCTGTACAGCATGGGTGTGTCACGTTTTAGCATTTTGTGTCATAAATGCTTTAATACGTCCACATCGCCCGTGGCAGCACATGAACGACCTGATTTACGAAAGACAGAAACCACTGTGAGTCACGACAGAGCGTTTGATTGACAGGCTAACAGGAACACTACTGTCAGCATGTTTTTTTTCCCAGATCATGTCTAAACCCGTTTCAGGCATTTAAGACTAATAAACAAGAGGTTACACAAGCTCTAGGAATCCTACGACAGCTCTAGTCTTTCATCTTGTCCATTCAAGCTTATTACCTGAAGCCAAATTAGTTAGTTAAAGCTGCGAAAGACGTCACAGGTAATTCCCGTCACTCAGAATTTGACACGTTCTGCTGTAGTGTACATTGTGTTTGTGATATTTGATGTCATGGAGGTTAAATAATCATAAGTAACCAACACGGCTAATAAAACAAATGAAAATGAAACGATATCATGTGAATCCAAAAAAGCTATAGAGCACAAATGTGATTTTAAACAACGTTTAAAAACAGTAAGAAATGGATGAATTAGAAAGGAAATTTATTTTCTCTATTTATTTGATTGCACATCAGTATATTACAGCTGTGATGGTATTTTAAAAGTCAAAACGTCTCTTTTTCTGGTTTCAGGTGTGGATGGACGCAGGCACGCAGATCTTTTTCTCATACGCTATATGTTTAGGTTGCCTCACTGCACTCGGAAGCTACAATAAATACAACAACAACTGCTACAGGTGAGAAAATGGTCAAAAAACATCAGCGTCCATGAGACATACTGTGAAATGTGTCTTTTGTGTATCAGTGTGTATCAGCATCAAGACACTTAATAATAGCAATCCGATGCATATCAAATATACTCTTGCAGTTGTGGCCTAATGGTTAGAGAGTCAGACTTGTAACCCAAAGGTTGCAGGTTCGAGTCTCAGTACTGGCAGGGATTTAGGTGGGGGGAGTGAATGAACAGTGCTCTATACACCACTCTCTTCCACCTTCACCAAATGCAGAGCACAAATTCTGAATATGCGTTAACATACTTGCTCGTCACATCTCTCACTTTCTCTTGAGGAATGAATTATGTATGTTTGATTTAGGAATGGGCATCATTCAGAATTCTGGTTCCTTAATGGCTCCATTAATTAATCTTTTAGTGCTTTTAAGGAATAAATATTTGGAAAAAAACAAATGCACTTCCACTGGCAAATAGTAAGATTTTTTTTATTATTATTATCTCTTATTTTTCTTATTTACTACAATAATGAGTCAATATAAACAGTTTTTGAGTCTTTTTAGAGGCGGCATAAATGCAATCCAATAATTGTCCTTAAGTATATATTAAGCAGCTAAATAAAAACATGCATTCATTAATATTTATAAGATACCACAGAAAGAAAAGAAAAAACGTGTAAATCTTTGACTGTAAGTAACAATGGTTCACTAACTACACTGATTTAAATCTCTGATTTAAACTGTGTTTGATTCACTAAAAAGATTTGACTCTTTAGAATCATTTGGTTCAATATCTTTTATTTTTTTCTTTCTTTTTTTTTAAAAGAACCGGTTCTGAATAAGAGCCAATTTTTGGTACTGTAGAAAAAATGTTGTCTGGAAAATAGTTTTTTTTTTCCCCACAAGTCCCTCATCAGACCGTGTGTTATGACAGAATGAGGGAAGGAGAGAAAGGAAACTTGTTTGTCTCATTGTTTCTCGTTGCTCCTCTGAATTTCATTCTATTGCTACATGCCATTGCTTTATATTAGACTAAACAGCTGAGATTCTCATTTTCCAGCGAGTAAGTATATAAAGTCCTAAACTTGAGAAATATGTAGCGCTGTGATTCATCTGGACCATGTGGTTTCACCCTTTGAAATCCAATCACTTCAAATTGCTTTCATCTTTGCAGGCACTTTTTCATAACATAAGCTTTTTCTTTGTGTTTGTCTGTTTTTAGGGATTCTTTGGCCCTGTGTTTCCTGAACAGCGGAACCAGTTTTGTCGCTGGTTTTGCCATCTTCTCGATTCTCGGCTTCATGTCTTATGAACAGAACGTCCCAATTTCAGAAGTGGCTGAGTCTGGTGGGTGCAACCGAATTTTATAAAGTAACCAAAATATATAAAAAATAAAATAAAAATTATGTTTTTATACACTTGCAAGTTTAAAATTTTACATAAAAAATATAATTTTATACAATTTTATAAAATATAAAATTATGTGTTTGTGTGTGTGTGTATATAATGTGTATGATTTATGTAATATTTTTATTACATTAAATAAATTTGATCATTTTATTACATTTTATAAATGTTTTTACACACGTATAGCCTATACATGTATACATTGCAATTTTGTATATATATATATATTTTATAGCAATGTTTCTACACCACTTTGTTTTTCAGTGTAGTAAACCATAAAATGTTCCAGTCGGGTATTTTTAGATAATTGACCTTTAGCTCACAAACACACTGAAATCTCTGTCTGTCCCAGTGCACACATTTGTCTGGGGTCAAGTTTGTTTGTAAATGACCCTTTTTTTCTTTTAATATGTCAAGGTCTGTTTAGTCAGTTTTTTTCTCTAAATGGCAGAGGGTTCATTTTTCAGACAGTGCACTTGTTCTTTTGGGCTCCATATGATGCTTATTAATTAAAAAAGACAACACAGAATTTATTAAAATATTAGTGTTAACGTATTCAACTGATTAGACGTGCTTTTTGATTACTAAAATTTAATTAAACCATTAAAACGGAATGAGGAAAACTTAAAATGGAAATCACAGAATTAGGGGAAAAATAAAACTGAATTTGGGGGAAAAACATATTTAATAGGGCTCTAAAAATTAAATTTCTGTTAAACTTTTAATAAATTGTTGTTAAAATTGTACAGGTTTTATGACTTAAATTAGACATGCTTTTTTATTGCTACAATGACATTTTACATTTAAAACGAAATCCTAAACAATTAAAATGCAAGAAGAAAAAAACGGAACAAAATAAAATGGAATAAAATTTTGGGACAAAATAAAACGGAATACATAGGGCCCTACATTTCAACATTTTATTCTGTGCATAATCCTGAATCATGATTTGAAAATGTTTGCATACAGTGTAATATTAAGCCCCAAACTGACAAATAATTACTCAAGTGGCTAGTAAAAATCAATAAGCCACAAGAAACACAGATTTGTTCATCTGCTCTAGTTCGTGTGTGTGGAGAGTCTGGTCACGGCTATGGTGGACATGTACCCGACTTTCTTCCGGCAGAAGAACCGCAGAGAGCTGCTCATCCTCGCCGTGGCCATCGTGTCCTTCCTCGTGGGTCTCATTATGCTCACAGAGGTACTGGACCAACTCATCTGACTCTGATCATTTTATCAATTGATTTATATAATTGGCAGATTTATAAATTGTCTCTGTCTGTCTGTCTGTCAGGGTGGAATGTATGTCTTCCAGCTGTTTGATTACTACGCAGCCAGTGGGATGTGTTTGCTATTTGTAGCTGTTTTTGAGACCGTCTGCATCGCTTGGATATACGGTGAGACTCCTGTTATATTGCCATGCTGTTTAGAGCCTGTGCATTTGGTGCAGGAAGCAAGAAAATGCCAGTTTTAAAGGGGTCATATGATGCGATTTCAAGTTTTCCTTTCTCTTTGGAGTGTTACAAGCTGATTGTGCATAGATAAGATCCCTGAAGTTGCAAAGACTAAAGTCTCAAAACCAAAGAGAATAATGTACAGTATTTGAAAAATAATGTGTTTTTTGAACATTAAAGCATGTCAACATATTCTGTTACACCAAATACACAAAATAATGATCTTTAAAAAAGCATCATATGACCCCTTTAAAATATTATTTCAATTAAATTACATAAATGCTAAAATATTTAATTTGCAAGGCAGCTAATTAGGTTTTGAAACAGTACTAATCTGTTATCTGGCACATTTTCTTTTCGGTAATTTCCTTGCTTTTCTTTGTTGCTTCTCAGGTGCTAATCGGTTTTATGACAATATTGAGGACATGATTGGTTACCGTCCTGGGCCTTATATTAAATACTGCTGGCTCTTCTTCACCCCAGCCACATGTTTTGTGAGTCATTTACCTTTTACACCTTATTTACCTTCAAAAATAAGAGAGTAAACTTAAAGTTTTTTTTGTAACCTTAAATATCCTTTTCAAGTAATTTTTTAAACCTCTTTAGATTACTTTGTTTTAAACCTCCTATAAGTTTGTTTTTATTTTTATTCTAATATATTTTATAAAATTAATTTAATTCAAGTAATTTAATGCATTTTAAGGCTCTAAATTACTCAATTATAGCTGACTTAAAGATTAAAAAAAAATTTCAAATAATTTTTAAATGTCACAGAACCTAGAGCAACTTTTGTGAGGTTAATTTAAAGATGCATTAAGTACCAAGTTCTTGGGCTTTATAGTGACATCTACTGGTGTGGATGCATCACGATGCAACAGCAAAAGACTTTGGTTGCTGATGCATTTGTAGAAACTCTCCCTTTCTAAAGATTTGAATTCACTTTAGTTTTACGATCAACCGCTCTAATCTTATTTCCTCCGCTGCTTGTCTTAACAGGGTACGTTTGCGTTCTCCCTGATCAAATACACTCCTCTGAAGTATAATAACGAGTATATGTACCCGTGGTGGGGTTACGCACTTGGCTGGCTGCTGGCGCTCTCCTCTATGATTTGCATCCCGCTGTGGGTTGTTTCTAAACTGAGCATGGCCAAAGGTTCACTGAGAGAGGTGAGTCTGACGTAACAGAAGAAATAGCATGCTGAAATACTGCTCTTATCATTTCTGCAGTATTTAGCTTGTATAACATATGCATTATCCTTGCTTGTATGCATATCCTTTTTGATTTACAATTTGATTACACTGGCAAAAGTTACACAAAATTATAATTAAAATACAAATATATATATATATAGATTATATATATTTAAATATTTTAATTATTTGTATGTGTATATAATAATATATATATATATATATATATTGTTTACATAATATATGTGTGTGTACTGTGTATATTTATTATGTATATGTAAATACACACACATACAGTATATACCGGTATATTGAAAATATTTACATGTATTTACGTGTATATATTTATAGTAATATAATTTATATCTAGTTAATATATAAACATAACATATTTTCTTAAATATATACTGTATGTGTGTGTATTTACATATACATAATAAATTTGTGCACTACTGTACATATTTTAACAAATGCATAGAGAAAAAAATGCATACTATGCAAAAATATGCAAACTATTATCATTGGCTAAGTACTATGTTATTCCAAACCTCTCCGCTTTTTCTCCTCAGCGTTTCCACGAGCTCATCACGCCCTCACCGGACCTCCCCAAAACCAGACGAGAGCAGGAGAAACTTCAGGCCATCTTTGCAGCCGACGGCGACACTCTTCGTCAGCGAGGCGGTCCGACTAAAGACGGGTACTTCCCTGTCGGCGAGAAGGAGTCGCACTGTTAGCCCAGCCGTCCCGTGATGGACCACTGTATGTTTCCCCGAGGGTGGTGCTTCTAAACCTTCCCATGATACCTCACACAGTACTGGCAGCCAAATAAGCATTACGACAGACACGCCAGGGTGACGCTCCAGCTCTCCTCGGTCTGAGAGGGGATTCTCTCTGTTCTCATTGACCAGAGCACACAAAAACACACTTTGTGTCAATATTATAGACAGCAGAATGTCACAATGTAATCACTTATTTTAAACGTGATATTGGAGAGAAAGCTTAGGGTTAGCTAGCGTTACTTCTAATTTATGTCTTAACTACGCCACAAAAGTGTAGACCCATGCACGGTCAAATATCATTGGATACGCATTATTGGCAAGTCTCTACAGGCAAAAACATTTTTCATGCACTGGTCAATATTGAGATTTTGGGCTATCTGGCTTTCCATAATATGTTTCTGATTAATGGAAAGAAAACATCTAAAATACACTTTGAAGTTTTTATTACACTTTATCTATTTGCATCTGAGGATTTAAATTACAATACATATTTTTTTGTGGCCATTTTCTCGAAATGAGATTTTTCTCCACTTACAGTAAGTAGTACGTACTTACACCAAACTTAACAGTTTTTTTCATATTTATATTCTGAAGGTTTTTATAGAGGGGTTTGTTCATATGTCATTCGGTTGATTTTATACATTTTATTCCTAAAAACATGGTGAAATTATTATTTTTTTCTGTCTGTTGACAGTTTTTTCTGCTTTATGGAGTGATAAAAAGAGAAGGAAAAAATCCCCTCTGTAATATCTGGACCTGACTGTATGTATTTGATTCACCTGGGGTGTCTGGCCTTAAATGAAATATGGTCTGATTTGCGTGAGTATTTTTGCTTTCAGTGTGGATTTTGTGTTATCTTGTGCTTCTATGATATAAAATTCTGCTCTCAGTAATATTGACACAACAGTTGAACTTCTACGATCTAAACCTGGCCAAATATGAGCGATACCAGTAGATTCTGAAAGGTTGAAGTGAAACAGGAAAATTCTCTGTAACACACCCAAAGCCTCTTGGATCTTAAAATGACGCAGTGAAGGGTTGGATCTGCATAAGCTTATTTTTTCATCATTTATTCACCCTCATGTCATTCCAAACCTGTATTTCTTTAGCTTTATTTCTTCAGTGGAACATAAAAATACCCCTGGTCAGTGTTTTTATTGTGAGCAAAAGTGCAGTTTGGAGGTCTTATTTTATCTTAGTTTCAGGCTGTAAGCATGTCTTGAACATTGGGTTGAACTTTAATTTTTTTTTTTTTTTTTTTTTTTTTTTTCTGTTACAAATTATTTAAAGGGATTACAGATTTGAAGGGAATAACGAAAAATAAAGATAGTAGTAAAAGAACAAACCTATTGTAAGTAATCATTTGAACTATTTCCTACTATGTTAAAACATACACATTTACTCTTAATCGTATGCCTAATATGACTACGTTAAATGGCTTTGTTAAAGGGGTCCTATTATGCTCTTTTACAAAGTCTTGATTTTGTTTTGGGTTGTCTTTCACATTCAATTACGAAGTATTACATGAATTATCTAAATTGCATAGGCTTTTTTTCAATTCAAAACGGCCGATTTTGACAAGAAACTAGAATATTGTGCATGATCGCTGGATATTACTTACATTTCTATCATTAAACAGTTGTCACATATTAAATGTTTGCCGCCTTATATCTTACCTCCAGCTCGTCGACCGTTAAAATGAAGCGCCGCGCGGGAATTCATGTTCCGCTTCTGTGAACGGTAAGCCCCGCCTTCTTTGATTTGATTGGCCATCGCAAACATTTTGACATTGACGAGCGCGGTTAGACCAGTGAAGCGGATAATCCTAATATTTTTTTTTTTTTTTTTTATATAACTATTTCATTTCATTTACATTTTTTTTGGCTCTGATTCCATGTAAAAAACAAAAAAAAACTCAAAGGAGTTTGGAATGATATGAGTCATCAAATAATAATTAACCTACATTTTTTTTAAGATGAACTATTTTTCCCGTCAAACCCTTTGCCCAGCAGGTGGTAGAGTAGAACACCATCAAAGTGGATGTTGGAAATAGAAACCGGAGTGTCTTTTAGGACTGTTTCAGTTCAAACAATCAATGCATCTGCTTTCTAAGGAAGCAAATTAGTGTTTTTTTTAAGTAGGCTATCCATGTGGATGTGCATCATAAATACAGCAAAGCCTGGGGTTTTATACTCAGAACTATCTTGCGTGAGTTATAAATGCCTATGAAGGTTTAGACTATAGCCTACAGATCTGATAGTATTACATGCAGGAGTACAAAGGTACTGTTTTGAGGTGATGTGAAACAATTTACAGTGTTACACTGGGTCATTCATCATTTTTGTGCACTTGTTTAAGAATATTTTAGGATATAAATCATTGCATCTCATGATTTGGAACTTTATTAAAGCGGCGTACGATTGTCTTGTAGAATGTGCTGTTTAACAAATGTGATAAATGTATGAAATTTTAACATCTGCACATATCAATCAGATTGCATATTGAGGACCAATCAGATGTATTTCTTTTTCCTTGTTTTCACTGGTTCATGTTTTCATCATGTATATGAAGTGTTGGAAGTGTCCTGTGAAAGCAGACCACCAGCAGTCTTTGTGTATATAACCTGTACAGAACGGTTTGGGTTTTACAACTTTGTAAATTGAGCCAGATATACTGTATTACTCATGTACATTACATCAATAAATAGAAGCAACTATTATGCACATGTTTGAGAAATCTATTGTAATTAGAGACACACATATTAAACTTTTTTTTTGCATTTGCACACAAGAAACAAAAGCTCTCTAAAGAGCAAACACAATATAGAGAGGTTAAATATGATAAAATATCAATGATAACTTAAGTAAATAATGTCATAAGAATTTGCTGATGCATTAAATTAGTTGCAACAAGCGTAAATATTTTTGTTAACTTTGTTAATACAAGATTTCGTATATTAAAGGGTTAAAAATCTTTGTTTGTGTTCTACTGAAGAAACAAAGTCACCTACATCTTGGATGCCCTGGGGGTAAGCAGATAAACATCACATTTTCATTTTTGGGTGAACTATCCCTTTAAAGCCTTTTGAAAACTTGACATAGTGCTAAACTAATAATGTAAATGTAAATGCATATCTCTGATGAGAACATTGAACTCCTAAATTACATGCTTACACATAGGTTTTTTTTTTCAAAATGAAACTTTATTTACATTCGCATGAACACGAATGTATAAGACCAAAAAAAAAAAAAAAGTTCTCTAAGGAGCAAAAACATAATATATAGGTGTTAAATATGAGACAATATCAGCGGTAAATAATGTAATGTACAGGTGCATGAAATTAATTGCAAAATAAGCTTATTATTAATGGTTTTCATTAGTGTAAGATTTATTGCATTAAAATCTTTCTGTACTTAAATGTACTCTTCTCATGTAAGTGTTTTTGAATTAAAAGTAAATGTATAATAATGTAAAAGCAGTTCTCTGGTGAGAATATTGCAACCCTAAATTACATGCATGCTTGCAAGCACATTCCTGTACATATTACTTTTTACATTGCATGTTTTTTAAAAATATTTTTTTACATATATATTCTTAACACACAACCCTTTCAAGGAGCAAAAACAAGAGGCTAAATATAATAAAAGATCAACAACAAAGTAGGTAAATGGTGTGAAATATGGCATTTACGGATATTTTAAAAGCTTTGAATGATTTATAGTTTTACTTTAGCGTTTTCTCTTGAGGTAAACTTAGCCTACATTTAAAATAGAGCCAACTTTTTTAATCGTACGGGCTTTAAAAAAAATACAGTTGAATATAATTTACTTCTAAATGTTTGGTTTTATGAAATTTTCTAGTAGACAGGGCACATTAAATAAAGCGATGTCTCCTTTCATTGGTCACTTTTCCCAGACCCCTGGCGTCCAGCAGCCAATGAAATCGTTGCAGCGCCGCTGAGCGCCTCGCGGGGGCGCCATAGCCCCTCCCCCGCTGCGGACCGGTCAGTGTTTACGGAAGTGACGCCTGACGTGACGTGTCATTTTCCGCACAGGCATTATGGGCTCCAGGAATGAAGAAAAATTCATGAAACTCAGGCGAGAAGCGCGCTTATAGATGATATATGTCATAAAGATCATCTCGACCGTAACGATCAGCATGATTATGGTCATGTGTATGACGCTCAGCAGCGTTCGCGGCTGAACACAGACACGTTTATTGATGTGTGTGCAGCGTCGAGGGTTTGTTTATGTGTCTCGCGCTGGAACCGAAACATCCCAGTCGGCTTTAATTGATTTATTAATCATTCGTTAGAGTTGAATTAGTGTGGAATGAGTGTGAAGATGTCGACCAGCAGCCCCGAAGCGGTGAAGAAACTCCTGGAGAACATGCAGGCGGACCTGCGCTCTCTGTCCATGGAGTGCAAGAAGAAATTTCCTCCTGTCAAAGAGGTACATACGCATATATATATATATATATATATATATATAAAAATATATACATACAGTGCGTACATATATGTGTATATGTGACTCTGTGAAATCCAGGCTAAAGTCTCAAAATCTAATTATGTGATAACAAGCATCAAAGTTTGATATCAACCATTAATTTCACTATAATTTCAATCTTTGACATGGCCTTACTCGGTCAATATTAAAGATATACTGGTTACATTTTCACAGAATGTTCTTTACCTTATGAAGGATGATTTTATGTAGAAAACAGTAAATCACAAAAAAATGACTTTAGCTGGGTTTTCACAGAGAGGGTCACAAATGCATATAAAATACACTTATATCTACGGGTTCATCTCTATAGGTATACGTATATCTGTATGTGTATGATATATGCACGTCAACTGTTATTGACAGTTAAGGGCTTAACTGGACTGAATGTACATATATGCACATGAAAAACTGTATAAAGTATATTATAGTAATTATATGTATATAATATATTTATTATATAATGGTATTATATAATAAATATTGTTCAGTACAATGTTAATTAAATATTAAATAAAATGACATTAAAATTATATAATTTTTTTAATAAAAATTTGGCCAATATGTATTCCACTGCTACACATAAAAATAGATTTAAAAATATTAATATATAATTTTATAATTAGGGAATAGTTTATTAAATATTATTAAATAAAATTCATTTAAATTTAAATTAGACAACATTTTTATTTAATTGAAATTAGATACAAATTGACCAATATTCCTCTGCTACATTTAAAATGTGTTTTTAAGCAGTATCAAGAAAGACAGATATATAATACATATGTGCATGGGATCTAAACATTGACAGTTAAGGGCTTGACTGGACTTTATGAACATGTAAAAAAAAGATAAAATATATCTTATTAATTTATATATAATATAGCTTAATATACTTTATAATATAGCTTTACATATAATGGAATAATTAGGGAATTCAATACAATGTTAATTGAATATTAAATAAAATTCATTTAAATAAAAATTAGACACTTAATAATGTGTGTATTAGACACTCCTTAAATCTGTGTGACGTGTCAGAAAGACGCATTATGTCATTGTTACTGTCCACTTAAAGTGTCACACATCTGAATGCAGATTCACTGATGTATCCAGGTGTGGGGTTGAACTGTATCTCACTCAAAGACTATAGAATACCCTTAAAGGGACTTTGTCTCACTTCAGTGAGTGAATGAATCATGTGATGAACTGAGCTGTTTTTTGAATGGCTCACACTCTACAGTGAGCTAATGTGGCTTTTTGCACAATATGATTGTGTCTGTTACTGGTGTATTATATTTTTATATGCAATGGTCGTAGTTTCTTATAACTATAAGTTTTTGTGATTTTGTGATGTGGTGCTTGAAATGTGTGCTGTTGTAGTTTGTTTGTTGTCCTTCAGAATCATGTAAAAAAAAACGATATTTGAAGTTGTTGAATAGCCAATTAATACTTCTTAGTTAAACTTAGTTAGACTTCTGAATTATATTACTTAA